GACCTTTCAGAAGAAAGCAGATCGTATAATGCTGCAAAGCCTCGCTGATGTTCAAGGCCAGCTTCACACCAGGGCAGGCCTGGCATGTCGGGATAGGCTTGGGTTTGCACGTGGAATTTAAGGTCCTAATGGCCTCTGCAGAGCCACGGAGGACGAGGGTCTGCTGATTTGCCCTCCCCACAGGCATGTTGGGCTGCAGTTGCCATCTGCAGTTGTCCATTGATAAGGCATGACTGAGATCTTGAGCAATATCCAAGTTTTCCCCCATGAAAGCATCAGTGATGAACACTTTTCGGTAGATGCTGGTGGCCCTGCGAAACGCCAAGCATGAGCCACGCTCACCTCGGCTATTCACGTAGTCTGGTGTGCAAAGCCTGGCCCCCAGCAGGCCGGCTACGAACCTGGCGTTCCCCGCTGCGCTGGCTGGGTCTTGCACCACGATGAGCTCGGCCTGCCTCATAATGGTCACCTCCCTGCAGTGGTAGGGCACACGGTAGCCAGGAACTGTTGAGAACACTTGCACATTCGGGTCCCTTGGAGCCTGCAGGGTCAAACAAAAATAAGAAACCCTATCCCATCAATCGTGACGCTCAAAAGTCCCTAAAGCCGCCAACCCCCGAAGCCCCAAAGCCCAACCCTATACGAACTGCAAGCCCCAACCTCATTTAACTTACCTAATACGCCCTTAAGCCTTAAATCTGCCGCGCCCGACCTGGTCCTTCAGAACTTTGGCTTTCACGTTTCTGTTCTGGTTGTTGCGCTCACGCTGCGCCTTAGCAATCTTCTGTAGGAACACAGTGGACTTGTCCACCAGATCTTGCGTGATCTCTGCAGGCAGAAGATGGCCTTGCAAATACGCTTCTACTTTGGCCTTGGGTTCTTTCTCTTCATTGAAATCAATCTCTTGCAACAGCTTTGGTGTCAAGGACGCGATGATGCTGTCAGCAGATGTAACCGTCTTGGGCAATCGAGCGATGGGCCCTGCCTCTGAGCTGGCGGCCTGGTCCACGATTGCAGATCTTGCTTGCAAAAAACCACTCTCGCTCTCCTTCTTCGTGCGATGCGGCCTCGATCCATGTCGCTGCCGGCAAGCCGAGACTGAAATTAACGGGTTTTGGGTCGCAAACAATTGCCAACAATAACGACAAGGTGCCTTGCAATGCCAGCATCCCAACGCTTCTGTCGAGATTCGCCACTCGACCGTGTGCGGCCGCAGCTTGAGCGCCACACTGCTGCTGCGCTCTGAAGCAAACTCTTCTCGGCCGGGTCCGACAGCCCAGGCCGCACATCTTGAGCGATGACTAGGCAATCCTGCTCATCCTCCAAATTGTTATCCTGGCTCTTGCCGTCACCCTTCAAAGCCTTGGCATGCGCGAAACCCCGTTCCACAGTGCTTGATGAAGCTGACCAACCCGCGCTGCGAGCAAGGACGGCAATCAAAGCTTCTGGGCGGCCGCCTCTCTTCTTCTGCACGGCTTGTTTCCATGCCTCGAAACTGCTGAGACCACCCATGTGGCCCAGCTTCAAAGCAAGTGCTTCATGATGTTGGAACTCGTGCTGTAGTTGGTCTGCGTTGACCCCAATGACGGTCGCCAGCTTCTGCAGCGCCTTCATGCGTTGCCAGTTCAGCAACATCTGCTTGCACCGAGTAGCGTCCTTCACACTGAAGACCTTGAAACACGCCATGATCTCATGGCTGGGGAACTCGGCCACGAGAACCTTCTCAACCAAAGCCACATAAGTGGACATCCGCCTGAGACATCTGGTCTTGATGTCCTCTGTGAGGTCACCTCCCAAGGAATGGGCTCTGCCCTGCTGCAGCACAAACGTTCGCCTCGTTTTCAGATGCTCCAACATCACCGTGGTCAAACAAGGAATTTGCAAGCACATGCCTTCAACAAAGAGCTTGCCCAAGACCTGCCGGAAGTGCTCCAAGTGAAACGGGAACTCGATGATATCCTCTTCGTTCTGGTCCGCAATCTCCACCAAGCGCTGGACTTCCAAAGCCTACCCCCGAGCATCCCAAGCTGAAGGCACTTTTCCGTATCCAGCCACTGAAGGGTGTGCAAGCACGCAGCGCCCTCGTCTGAGCTGGCACTGCGCACGTCTGGAACGCACGACAGGGTTGCAAGGACGGCCTCGAAACTAATGCATATGCGCAATAATGTCACGCTTTCCGAAGCGTATCGCTGGGGAGCATATCGGAGGTCCTTGCCACAAGGAGCGTCTGGAAGCTTGGCTCTGAAATCTTCATACAATTGCTTTATGGCGGGTTTGAAGGTTATGATCTTCGCGATGCTGTGCTGCTTCTCCATAAATTCCACAACGCAGCTCTTGAGGAACGACTCGGCCGACCAAGGTCTGCTTAAGAGCCTGCAACATACGACACACACGCACACAAACAGGTACAAAACCACGAAAATCTTAGCAACGTTGCCTCTGCACTGCGTGCGCTCTGTCGCGATTGATCACCTGCATGCCGCTAGCACGCTGCACAACAGAACAGTGAACCGAACATGCATCCCAGCCGCAGGCCTTCAAGCTGCTGAGGAATTGGGTCAACTCTTCCTGAAGTCGGGGGACGGCAGGACCTGCCAAAAGCCCGCCCTGCAGCTCTCGTGCTGCCAACTGCTCATCGGCAGCGCTGTCGGCGGCAAATGCTTCGATGCGGCCGCAAAGCATGTGACAGAACTGCAGGTCCAGCTCTGGCTCCCGGTCTGGATTCTTAACCCGCAAACCACCATAGTTGGGCGGCACCTCTTTGCAACAAAAAGCTTTGATGCACGACATTGTCGCCTCTCGCAAGCCATCTGACCCCGGAGCTTGCACGCTTCCAGCATGCTTCTTCAATCCTATAGTCCCAGTCAAAATCTCTAAACTGTCTGTGACGCAGCGAAGCCGCAGCAAGAACCTATTTCCTCGCATATCCTGCTGAATGGATATGCACAAGGCATCCCGCATCTTCTGTTTCAAGGCACGGCGATGTGCAGTGGTTATGCACCAGCGCATCATTCGACACTTCCCCGTAGCGGCCACTGAGTTCACTGCATGCAATTTGGGTTCGTGAAGCACCTGCTTCCATTCTAGGAAACTGGGCGCACCGCCATCATCATCTAACAATGATGGCTCCGTGCACTCTGCACCCTCCTTGCCCACGCCCTTCGAGAAAGCACGCGCTGCTATCTGATGAGCTGGGGAGTCTGCGTGCTTCTGGAACCTCTGCAACTTCAGCTCGCCACCATGCACTTCATACCTCGCAAACTGGTGCCTCTGCACCATGAGGCCTTGAAACAACTCAGGCTGGGATTGCTGCACCTCTGCACACAACTCGCAACCCAGCCCCCAACAGCTGGAGTTGCCTTGTATCCGGAATCGTGCACCCAGCCAAGGGAATTTTTTTTTCCACGCTGACTGGTTTGCGATCCACTTGCACCGGGGGCACTTCCGCTTGTCGGGGCATTCTGATGAATGCTTCTGGTCGCATAAACCACCCACTGCAGGCCTCACAGCCAGCAACGCTGCTGAAGGACACGTGTCCACATCCAGCTTCCTTTTTGTTCCGGATGCCATGGCTTGCTGCGAGCCAAAATGGCTCTGCCGAATGATCGATTTATTCAACAAGACAAGAGCCAAAATAGCAAAAACCTCGGTAAAACGCAGGTGATGTAACCTTTAGAGGCAAAAGATTACATGGGCTCTTGTTGGGCTGCCACGGGCCATCATGGCTCTTGTTGGGCTGCCATGGCCCACCGGCCCCTGGTTCTGACTTCGAGCCACTCGTTGACTGGAGAAATATGGCTCAGGAAGCAAGGACAACAAGCAGGAGGCTTGGCCTCCTCATTCATTTGGCCTCCTTCCACAAGGGCAGGAGGCACCGATCAGGAGGCCAAGCCTCCTCCTTCAATCATGGCCTCCTTCCCTTACTTTGGGCAGGAGGCACCGATCAGGAGGCT